AAGACTGATCAAAACTTTCCTGAACCTTCCCGACCCAGCCATGGATCTCCTCCTCCTCGCTCAGCCTTGCCAGCTGTCCTCAAGCGTGAGACAAACTTGGAAATCGAACACCACACCGAGGTGCACAACAAGGTCGTGAGTGTAGGGGGAAATCCTTCAGAACCCTTTGCCTGGGAGCTCGGGATCATTCTGGGGGATCACCCTGCTGGGGAGCTCTCAAAGTTTGTGCTTTGGAGTTTTCTCTGTTCTTGTTACCCTTAAGATGACGTCTTTAAGGACAGCACAGGACAGCCTGCCTGTATTTCTTTCGGCAGAGAACAAGCCTGTGATGCGATTTCCTCCCTCTCATAAAGCTGCTCGTCCTGAGCAAGCCCAGGAGCAGGGCAGCATCGGTGTCCCCCTGTACACCGTTAACTCCCAGCTCCTGTCATCCGGCTTGTGTGCTGTTGTGCAAAAATGGATAAATGGTTGCTCACAAATGGACAGGGGAGTTACAATTTCAGAGAGCTAATGTGCCTGGCTCAAAAATATCTCTTGACCTCCTGGAGAATGCACCATTTCATGAAGCTTTTGGTGCTGGCTGCTAAGGCTGTTTGACTGCTGGAGCAGATTTTGCACAAACTGCAGAGAAAAATAGATTCATTATCAAATACCATAATATTTTTAGCTCTCCCAAGGATGTATTTATAGCAACCTTTACACTAGTGGGAAGTTCTTATAAACAGAAAGGAATTTAAAAGGCATGTTTTTCCAGGCTGATGACCATCAAGGCAAGGTCAGCTTGGATAAAAAATGAGAGAAGCCTAATCAGGATGCATGGAGCCTTTTGACTTCAGAATGCTGAGATATGCTGAAGAGAAATAAAAATAGAACCCCCTGAGAAGCCCAGGAGCAGAGCAGTTGGGGATGCTCGGAGGCCCACAGGGAAACCGAGGGGTAGAAAACCCACAGCGCTGGGCTCTCACGGCCATGTTTCTGCATTGCCCAAGGGAGATTTTTGTAGTATTTGAGGGGGAAATTTTTTTTTAAGTTAATAGAATTGTAATGGAGCAACAGCAAGAGGCTTGTAGAGATGCTTTTTTTTTTAATACACAGAGGGAAGAGACCTCGCTCAGGTTAGTGTGTACAGAGAAATTCGTCTTTGCCTGGCAAAACTGTTTGGGCCAAGAGAAGGATCGATGCTTTTTTGCCCAGTGATGGCTCCTGCGGCGCAGAGGCCCCGGGGGGCAGGTGGGGCAGCAGACCCCAGCCCTCTGCCAGCGGCTCTGCATGGGCAGGAAT